TTTCCAAATCGTTTCGCCATGGTAGTAGTCCATCAGCTTGCTTGCGACGAGACCGGCGGCGAAGCGTATCGAGTCTGCGAATCGTCAGCCAATGTTCGCATCGCGAAGTACCTAGAAGCAGGCAGTGTGCGCACCCGCAGAATCGAGGTCCACGCTCAGCGCAGCCCTAGTGCTGGTGATGGCCAGTGCCAACACGACTGTCGATAGCATCGTGGTGATATGACATTCTTCGACAAGAATGCGAAAGGAAACTTGTCGTCTTGGCATCGCCAGGTGCTTGAAGGTGGTGTGGGCGATCTGTGTGTTTGTTTTGCTGGTCACACTTGTGTCATTCTGTGCGCCCCTGCAGAGGAGCACTGGCAAAGCCCGTGCTACCTACGATGGTGGTTGCTGCCATTATGGGAGACGTGTGTGCCGCTGTTTGTCGATGGGTGACAGTTTCACTCGGAACAAGACGGGCCTGCCGTCAAGGTGCCGACAGGGACGTGGATGTTGCTCCTGCCCCTGAGCCTGGAGCATGTCGGGCGCACTGCAGAAGCATGGGCGCTGCAGCCTTGTCCTTGTCAGCCTTGCACATCTCAAACTCCGGTTGTGGAAAAGATGGAGCTATGACATGACACTTTAGCATGTTCACATCAAGTTGGGTGTCACATAGGCTGGCGTAGATCATTCAATTTCGAGATAACGCTGCTACACAATACACTCGCCAGTTGTCTCATGCTCGACATTAAACAAATAAAATTCTCTACTTAAACCCCGCGCAATTGCTATAGTCCTACGTATCTGGTTGTTCAGATGCGCCCAGGAAACTTTTTAAGAACTTATCTACACTTTTAATCTCTACCCCGTCTTCGCTTTTCCGTTTTTTCGCGCGCTTAGTTGCTATCTTGCGCTTTGTGTTTTTCTCATCCGATTGGACCACCTCAGTAACCTTATCTCGTGAGCCGTCTTTCTCATCTTTACTATCCAGCCCCTTCCCGGCGTCGTTCTTTTCCTTCCCTTTTCCATCCTGTGTTTCGCTATCCTCCCCCGACTGCACCTCCAACTTTACCTTCTTATAAGCCTCCGCGAGCCCTGGCTCTTCATCCTCCAGGCGCCTTTTCACGCCTGCCGGCAACGGGTTCCCCGACACACTGTTGGTAATGACCATAAGGCCAAAGGCCCAAGGATCGTCAAGCTCGGAACCTGGCCGCCTGTTGAGATACCTGAGGGCCTCCCGGTCCAGTGGCTTTCGCTCCCATATATCTCGAAAGATCCATATTTGACGATGGATGACTCCAGCTTGAACCGTTTGAGATTCTTCTTGTCCACAAGAATGGGCAGCAGGCTTGATTCAGCCGCCTTGCTTGCATCTTCGAGCAGCAAAAAGTCGACCAGTTTCTGCTGCTGCTCATCGCGGAGCTGCGTAACCCTTATTGTGACTTTAGCTCGGGAGGGAGAGAGGTAGATATTTGGTGGGTCTGGGTTGCTGTAATTGGAGTTGTGGCCGTCGCATTCCTCTGCCCGACGCTCAAAGACAACGACGCCGCCGAGAATCCGGTCCTCTGCCCAATAGCCACAACGTCGGCCACACCTTGGGGGTAGATGTCGTGGTCGAGGTAGTGTATGCTGTGGAAAACAGTGCAGATAGGATCCGGAGGACACCATTCCTCGTCTGTCATCCATGAGTACAATTCGGGCTTGCTGGTTTCCTTCCACTTGGCAATGGCATCGACCGCTTCTCGTCCTCCCTTGTGCACACAAAAGTCAAGCTGGTAGAGAAGCACACCGAACTCGTGGATTGCGACGGCTACCATCTCAATGAGACGGGTTGCGAACAGTTTGCTGCCGGGGGCCGTTTTTTGATATGCATTGAGCACCTGGGGGCTGAACCTAAGCATCTCCGTATCCCACTTCGGGCAGACCTCGCGTGCTTTTTCCATTGCGCCGGGGCAGAGTTCTTCGTGCTCAGTTGCCAGCGGGTGCTCCCCTTGTAGGAGAGGGCTTCTCACTTCCCATGCGACATCTCCGGTGGGAAGGCCGTCGATGATCTGAGCGTATGTGAACAGAGCGAGCTCGGTAGACAGCACATTGTTGATGGCGCGCACCAAGTGCCTGCGGTGTTCGGCATCTAGCCTGTCGATGGGAATACGCGCTTTGTGATCTGCGAGAGCTCTGGCGCGGAGGAGTTCTGTGATGGCATCCATGTCGTCAGGGTCGAAGCTGGACTGTGCGGTGCATCAATGTCGTAGTGGAACGTGCTTGAGGCCATAGCTATTTATTACTGGATGATATTCTGAGATTCCAGGGTGTTATATATGGAGGAAAAAGAAAAGAGCGGGTGAAGTGAATGGGGGGGAAGAGAAAGTCGGTTGTTGGTTTGTCGGTGACTTCCAGGCTGCAGGGAGCATTCTTGGCAAAAGAAGTGGGGATGGGTGAGCCGGTGGCACTGATGGGCGCCAACCCCCTTATCGTTTCGTCGGACATCGTTACCAGTCTGTCGGGTCCAGCTGGATATGAAAATAGTGACAACATTGGCCAGAAGACGCCAATCACACTAGAAGTATGGATGGCTGGCCCACCCTTACTGTCAGGCTGAGCCTCTTACGCATGGCCAGGTCGGTGGTTTTGTGAATAATACCCAACATGTACCCAACCGCCTTCTTTTCGGAGTATTCATGAGCCGCAACGGGCAGATTGTTGCTCTCCATTACAATTCAGGCGCCAGGCCTCGCTAGGCCAACAACAAGCGACCAGGACATGTGGGTATCAGGTACCGTATGATGACCTTGTTCACTGAGGAGATAGCTATCGCGATTCGAAAGAGGCCCTGCCTATGGGCAAAGTGAGTATGTAAAGATCCTCTGGCCGTCCGGATTATCATCATTCTAACCATCAAGCCTCTCCTTCTCGCCTCATTCATCACCCGCCTGCCTAGCATTCCGACGTGATCTGGTATCACGACATTATCAGGTCCTCCCTACATTTCGTATTTACCCCCACCCTTTTCAGTCACTCACATCGCTATTCTGCCTGTGATCTGGTATCACAGCATTGCTAAATTCCCATTTTCTTCTTGTTTTTCTTCATATCATTTTCCTCTGTCGTCCGGTATCACCGGGTTGTTATCCAATAACTATGTCCTCAAGATCCTCCAGTTCCTCCCTCTCCAGCGCACCCCGGTCAGCACAAAGCAGCGACCACTCCCGTTCCCACTCCGGCTCTCCCACCCCTCGTGAAGACCCTCGCAGGATCCTTCAGAACTCCCGGGTTGTGACCCAAGACCATGACGACCCGGCCGACATCCGCCCCCTTGCAGCAACGTCCCGAGCCTTTCGATTCGTTGCCTTTGCCATGCACTTTGGTCTCACCATGTTGGAAACAAGAGAGGGGTGGGAGGCACTAGTCGAAACAGGGACCAGTATCTGGAAAGCACTTGATCCAAGAGCCCGTCGAGATATTCTCTTCCGAGGCGACCCTGTAAAGGACTAGGCAAGGCAGAAATGGAACAGAGGGCTTACCGGCGCATCTTGGGAACAAAAGGAAAAAACCGAGACGAGCCCGGACGACAGACACACAAGAGGAAGCGAGAGGAAAGGCGCGCGAAGACGACAGAAAGTTGGCGGCGGCAGCTGCTGCTGGTGGCCGTCTTGATAATATGTGGCTTGCAGCTGGAAGAGAGGGAAGGTCCTTTGGGCAATTTCCTCTAGGAAGGAATGTCCGGTCTCCCTTCCAGCTCTTGGGCCGAGCTTCCTCCTAGGACACCAAAACAAAGAGCCTTGCCGCAAATGAAGATGACCGCTCTACGACCCTAGATCATGAGTCAATCAACCTGAGCCAAGAGTCTGACAACCCCAGTGACTTGGAGATGGCCGACGCTGGCGGCGAAGATCCAAGCAGCTCTTCCTCTGCCACTGTCTGGAGGGTTGTTATTACTGTGCTGTCCCTGTCTCACAAGAGGAAGGCATTGAGAGCATCAATGTGTGTGAAGTGTTGAGGAACGCTCAGAGATGCATTTGTACATTACGCAGTGTTCATGACTTCAACCGTCAGGAGCCTGTTCAGATAATCACGGGTTTGTTGAATGAGATCTAGAATCTTTCTGATGGTGCTTAGAAACTGGGTACCAATCCCATTTTATTTCTCTCACCAGTCATTGTGTGACTGGGCTTTTGACTCCTTGTGAATTGACTTCCTGTCAACAAATGACTTCGTGAGTGCCATTAGGGGACATGGCGCAGCTGCTTCATCACCGACCGGTGTTGAGCTTTGTCATGAAGGCAAACACCAGTCATGATTTAGGATGACCACCATAACACATCGTCGAGTTGAGAGATACCAATTGACAGTCGGATACTTCGGTATCACCATCACCTAGTCACAGCAGATGAGCTCCATCAAGGCCCGTGCTTCTTGTCAAGGTCGGTCCTTCCTCAGGTTGAGTCAACCTGGCTGGTTCTGCCGCTACAAACCCTACCTAGGCTCTTCCCTCACCTCTATCGACTCTACCCACTGCAAAATCAGTGACCCACAACACTCCTGTTTCTTTTCAGACGCACAAAAAGTTTTGTTGCTCCTAAAGGCATTGGAGGGGAAAAAGCCCTAGCGTCACAACACCACAAAGTCGGACAAACACGAACCCATCCCATCAACATCTTCATTCATTTTTTAGCCTTGTGCCCATGAAAGCAGCATCATCACTGGAAATCATTATATGCATCATTACAGCTATAATTGACCATTATATCCCTTACTCCAGCCGTTGGGCGAACCCAAAACCGGACCGTCCAGCCCCTGTTAACCTCTCAAAATCGGGTATCTACGTCAGTAAGCAAGCCCCTCCTATACGGCTCTGTCTGTTCTCTAGATGTCTTTTCCTCCCCGGCCCACCAGCCTGATGCTGATAACAAGGTCGTCGTCCCTCCAGATTCAGCTTCTTTTAGAACATCCATTCCACTGTCCATTCACTGTTTGCAAGGCGACGACGATTACTTCCTCACACTCTACGGTCGCTGGCGATGGTCATTGTTGACGCTTCAACCGTCTACATGTGGATTACCTTCAGAAGGGTCATTGGTACTCTTGTCCAACATCCTTGTCACCGGTTGACTGGACCCCGGAATTGAGACCCTGGACTTGTTGCCAAGTGGTCGTGTTTGAACACTTGGTATGTTTTTTCTTTCGCATTGACTGGCTTGACAACATCTCTTTTCAAGGTACGGGACATTTTAACTTGGCATTGAATACACAGACGGAGACTCGAATTGGCTTGGAGTTCGTGTTCGCTGGTCGGCGCTGATCCTCAGTACAACATGGAACCCCCAATAGAAAGTTGAAACCAACCAAGGAACAGGGTAGCAACATCACCACACACACCCTCGCCAATCCAAAACTTGTGACGGGTAAAGCTCGGTCAAAGCCAACCTATGGCCTATCCTCCACATCACCACATGCAGCACGAGATTGTCACATCCATGCAGTCTCTGCTCGCAATCAGGAGGCGTTTTGCAAGCCACCAGCATTTCTTCTACCGTTGTTGATCCAAGCCCGAAAGAAGCCTGACTTCTTGGTCTCAGTAACGATGTCCAATATCTCCAGACATAACTCCGGGGCAGATTCAACGACAGCAGCCCGTCCATTGGCTGCACAACTGTGGACCTTCTCGGGACATCGCGGATTGCAAGCACTGATGTCGTTTCAGCATCACTCCTGCATACTCTTGTAATCCATACTCTCAGCTCAACATTCTGGATGAAATGAGGGCTCGAGCATGGTATCTCCTTTCATCGTTTTCTTCTTACCTTGATCCCAGTGAAGAGCAAGACTGACAAGGTTCTCCAACCAGGGCCAAGCCAACCACCTACGCCGCACCGCGCGGACCTCCCGTACCGAACAATCTGACCCTAGAACCTAGTTGAGAACGTCGAAAAGTTCGAGAAACATTGGTCACAGCCAGACGAAACACCCTGGCTACTCGGAACCCGGAACAAACATTGGTCAAGGTCGAGGAACACAACGTGTCTTGGCGTGGGCATTTCTGCAAGACGCAAGGTTGGACGCCATCTGTCATGCAAGAAAGCATCTGGCAAAAGCAAAGTGCCTGGCTCGGACCGTAAATTGGCCGGCAGTGTGGTGTTGACCCCCATGCTCACCGAGCTGCGAGTCGACCCCTGTCGTCAACTGCGCATGCAGGAAACCCTTGATCACGAGCGACCAGTGACCAAACACACAAGCTTTGGTCAAGGGTATGTTACCTGGTTCAAGTCAATCCTTCGACTCAATACGCAGGTGCTTTCGGTATGTGATGACCAACAACGCCAGAACCGGCTGCCGGGGAACGGCTGTGTTGCATTTCCGGGGAAAGAGGCTGAGCTCCTGGGGGGTTGTTCAAAGCCTTGCGCTGGGGCAAAGCAAAGGATGAAGCCAAAGGCGATCAAGTGCATCCAGAGGGGTTAGGCATGCGTCAATCCCATCACGCAACGGTCAAGGAAACGCCCTAGACAGGATGCGGATGCTGTCCGGGGAAGTCGGCCCATCACAGGAAGGATTTCGTCTTATCGAAGGCAAGCAAGAGGCACTCAATTCTATTCAACTTGTGAGAGGTTGAACAGGGCTGACGGGTGTGGCTACGTTACCCATATATCGGATGCCATGCCGTTGTTTTATTTTCCTTCGACTCCACTCTTCCGTCTTCCCTGCCGTGCCGTTTCCAAGCTGCCGGGTACAGTGCATCCTGACTTGGTTCCAGAGACCACACCTAACCCTGAGAATGACAACAACAGCAACCCCACGCCAGGCTTGACACCCCGTTCGAGCTTCGACCTCAACGACCACAGCTTGGCCTTTTCAGTGGAGAGCAAAAGTCCCATACGAGGCTTCACCCTGATCGACCACAACGACCACATCTCGACCTTTCCTGTCAAAGACAACAGATCCCCACTCGGCTTCTCATCGTGCTCAAACCCAACGATCACACCTTGACCCTTTCTGTGGAAAGAAGACAACAACCCCACGTGAGGCCTCTCACCCTGCTTGATCCCAGCGACCACATCTTGACCTTGTCGAAACCAACAACCCCATTCGAGGCTTCTGATCCTGCTCGATCCCAGAAACCACCTTGGTCTTTCCAGTGAAGAACAACAACCTCATGCAAGGATTGACATCTTGTTCGATCCCAGCGACTACAACTTCAACTCTCGGTCGGGAAACGTCAACGCCACGCAAGGCTTCATTGAAGGCAACGCCATCCCAGCAACGATCATGGCGACCCAGCAAGCCCAAGAGCCCTATCGTGGCTACAATGACGAGAGCCGAGCCCATTGGGTGTTGATTCCCACGATTCTTTTTACCATTCTCTGCCCTCTTCTCCTCGCCATCCGAATCCACGCCCGCAGAGCGACCACGATGTTGGACCGTGGTGATTGGATCAGTGCCACAGCTTTGGTATGCATTTTCTCCGTCCCGACTTGACTCTGGCCGTCCACTACGGTCGTCCCAGTCGTGATTGTGCCATACTTTTACCCCTCCTCTTCAGTCTCCCAGCTTGCTGACCTTTTTTTCACGTTACAGTTCTTCAACATAGCTACCAATGTCATGTTCTTTGCCATGGTCAGCCACGGTTTTGGCAAGCATTCCGATGTTATCCCCAAGCACGATCTCTTTTCGGCCCTTCAGATCTGGTTCTTTGGTCAAATCACCCACAAGATTGCTCTCCATCTCACCAAGGTCTCGCTCCTCTTGCTCTACGTCCGGATCTTTAGTCACGTCCGAGCGTTTAAGTTAACAGCAATGGGCCTGATTTACTTTATCCTCCTTTACATGACCTCTTCGAGCATCGTGGGAATTTGCCAATGCATCCCCATCGCCTCAGCCTGGGATCTCGACATCCATGGAAAGTGTCTGAACCTTTACATCATCTGGAACATGAACGCCATCGTCTCTCTGGTCACCGATCTCATCATCTTGGTCCTCCCGTTCCCTCTCGTCATTAGATTGAACATCCCCCTGAGCCAGAAGCTTGCGTTGATGCCAGTGTTTGGATTGGGTGTGTTTATTGTGGTGGCATCGGCTCTCCGAGTCCAGTCGCTCCTAGTGAGCCATGTGACGGACAGGACATACGACATCATTGGAACGTTGTGGACGATCATCGAGTATAATCTCGCGTTTGTTTGCTTGTGCTTGCCTTCGGTGAGGGTGCTGTTGGTGAGAACCTGGCCAACAATATTCAAAAGCTCTGTTGGAAGAAGCCAGACCAGTGGTGCCACGGCTGGGCACAGATATGCGAGGGCCGGTGGGGGGGCCACAACCTGGCCCGTTAAGATCGAGCTGGACGACCGCCCCTGGTCACGTGTGGGGGGTGATGCTGGGCTGGATGGGTCGGATAGTACCGACGAGATCCTCGGGTCTGGCGAGGGGGTTGAGGCTGGTGTTGAGCCAGCAGGGATCACCAGGACGGTGGAGTTCGGGGTTGAGTTCGCGCCTGTGAGCGCTCCAGCTCGTGCGGCGACGCGCGAGAGCCGGGCCGGCGAGTCCAAGACCTGAACGTTCGTGGGTGGTCGTGGTGGCGTTTGGGGACGTTTTGGTCTGCCGTGCGGAGGCGAGGGGGGAGGCGTTGGAGACCGGAGGACGGAGGATGTTGGCCGGGCTAATAAGCCCTGAGCATTTTTATAGGGCCATGAGTGGAATTTGAATACATTCAACTATGACTTGTATGCCTTGATGTGATCTTGCCACGCCTTGATTTTATCTTGGGATGTATTTACTCTATCTGAGTACGCCTTTCAACGATCATTGTAGGCCTTCATACTGGAGGTATCATCATATGCTTCGGATTATCATGACAGGTTTTGTACTATGCTCGAATAGGTTTAAAAGTAAGAGTAATGCCCCCACTCGACGTTGTGCACAGTTAAATCTCACCATACCCTATAGGCAAAAGGTTCTTTGAGTGGAGTTTGGATGCGCCCCCAGATCACTTGTATGTCTCGATGCCATGTTGACATGCCCTCATGATATTTAAATATCTTTACACTATCTCCATAGGTCTTTCCACAGTCTGACACTGAAGTTCATGTCAACGGGACACCTCTTCAGACTATCCTTGACCTCAAACCGAAGCTCATCATGATGATACATAAGGTACCACGGTTTGGGTTCTCAATGCGGGTTCTCTCATCCTTTTAGCTATCCGCACAAACATACTCTAATCGCGCGTTATCCTTCTTTTTGGTGTGAGGAATGGCGCCAGGCTCAAGTAAGGTCGGGATGTTTGTGTTTGGAAGCACATGAATGTGACGCGCCATGACATTATCTAAGTGGGAAGTGGTGAGATTGATGTGAGAGATTTGACCGACATGATTGAGAAGTTTGAAGTCCAAGAGGGGAGGATGAGATTGATGTACGGAGCGTATATCAGTCAGATCATGCGGGTGAGACAGCTGCGCAATGATTGCCTTGTTGAGAGAGGGGAAACGCCAAGAGCTGAACAGTCAAGCTCCTTGGTCCTGCTCATGTGCCCTCTCCCTCAAAACATCAACCTCGCATCCATGATGACACTCATCTCGGATCACATCCGTGACAAGCTGAAGGAGCTCTATTCTCACACATCACGCCATTATCACACCCTCAACCATATCGAAGCTCTCCTCGCTCTTCTTTCCACTCACCGGGAGAAATTTCACGACCCAGAGGCAATCGAAGCAGCCATCTGGTTTCATGATGCCATCTACAATGTCCACGCGCAGGGAAACTGTAATGAGGTTCAAAGCGCACAGTTGGCAGGCTCTATGCTCTCTGGGCTTGTGGATGCAACACGTCTGAAAGGGATACAAGTCATGATTGAGGCAACGGCGACGCACACTGTGCCTGATGAGTTGCCAAGTTCTGAGGTGGTGGCAGATGCGGCCATTTTTTTGGATATGGATTTGGGTGTTCTGGGGGCTGAGGAAGAAGCATTTGATGAGTATGAGGGTGCGGTGAGGAAGGAGTATGGGCACGTGGATGAGCAAGGGTGGAGGGAGGGGAGGGCGGCTGTGTTGAGGGGGTTTTTGGACAGGGAATGGATTTATCACTCTGATATTTTTAGGGGGCTGCTGGAGGAGAAGGCGAGAGCGAATTTGAGGAGATCGCTGGAAAGATTTGGTGGGTCGGTGCCCTGAGGATGACGAGAGGTAGTTGCTCCTCCAGGGAGAAATGGGTTGTGCATTTTCAGGGCAGGTTAACCAGGGTATAGGGGGGTGTCCATAATTTCTATCTCGGCATACAACTGTTACCTATCCAATCACAATCAAATTTATTATTCCAAATGCATCTTGCTATGCCAAAACCTTCCGCCTTCGACTCAAGCCGAGATCGACAAGAGCAAACAATAAGGACCCTGCCGCCAGAGTCACAGTAATGACGACGAAGCCCGCCAAATACCTCGGCGCATGTTCCTGAGGGAAAAGATACGCCCCGTAGATGTTGGCAGCGTTGCCGACGGCCTGCGGCAAGCTGACCGAGATCGCTCGCACTTCCGGTCTCATGTCCTGGAACGTCGTCGTCGCAACAGCCACACCTAGCGAGATGCATGTCCAGACACCACATCCTTGGAAGATCAGGAGGATATACCGCGCTTTGTATTCCTCAACGACACACACCACGATGGAAATGATGGCAGCAAACCCCGACCAGCCGGCGATGAACGCAGCACGGTGATTGGGGATTCGGTCAGCGATGAACCCACTGGACAGGGCACACACAAATGCCACAGCCCAGATTGGTACGGTCATGTACTGTGCTGTGACGTGCTCCTTGTAGCCAAGGCCATTGACCAACGTTGGATAGAAGTAGGGGAGAACCGTAGCACATCCGCATAGCTGCGACCAGTTAGCACTGCACTTCGGGATCCCCATCGCTCGTCACTTACCCCGATACCACCAGCCACACCCCAAGTCCTCCAGTCCGACAAAGCGAGCTTTATCGACTGCACTTTTCCAAGCCGTAGCCCATCACTTTGGTTATCGCCGATGTTCGTGCCGCAGTTCCTTAGCCTACTAGTCGCGATTCTCTTCTCCTCGGGGGTGAAGTGTCGGCAGGTGGCGGGAAAGTCAGGGAGAATGAAGCCTGCAATCATCGCCCAGATGATGGTGATGATTCCCTCCACGATGAACAGCCAACGCCAACCCCGGATCCCGTAGCGGCCTTCGAGACCGCCTGTCACAGCGCCGGCGATGATACCACCAAACGCGCCGCCGAGGAGAACAGCAGACAACACAAAGGCGGCACGTTTCGCTTGCTCTGCGGGCACATACCAACTTGAGATGACAAAATAGACGCCCGGGGTCAAGCCGCCCTCGAAGATACCGACAATGATGCGGAGAACAAGGAGCTGTGGAAAGGTTTTGACGGCACCCATGCAACAAGTTGCGATACCCCAAACCATCATCAGGCCAGCGAAGTAGATGGATGGTCTAACGCGGGTGATGATGAGATTGGACAGAGGACCGCAGAAGGCATAGCCGACTGGACCAGGGCGTGCTATTAGTTACCATTCCCCTAGTATGGGCAGACATACGGCAGCACGTACAGTAGAACGTGATGATTGCCAAGCTGTAGTCGGTGGACGACAGGTGGAGGTCGGCATTGAGCCCTGCGATTTTGGCATTTCCCAGACTGAACCTATCGTTAGTTCCCTGAACTCGACCATAAAAGAGGTGATACTGACTTGCTGCGGTCCATCCAGGAAATGACAAACATGAGCCAGACTGTCGGGATCAAGCGCAAATCGACTTTTCGTACCACCTTCCGCTCCTCCTCTGGCGTCCAGGAAATATCCCCCACACAAGTTTCATCTTGGCTGTGATACTGCTGACCACCCTCGGTCTTTGTTGTCAGGGCACTCTCCATGGTCTGCGCGATTCGGCAATTTCACAATCAAGGAGCAAAGTTCGGGCTTGGTGTTGGTGTTAGTGGACGCAACCATGACATAAGACACGACCTAGGGATGAACGGGCTCCTTATGTAGACGTTCGTCTCTCATGGGAAGATCCTAGTGTCTAAGACAGAAGTTCCGGAGTCCGGCCTCATCGGCCAATTGGCAGCTGCAAGCTCCCACCACGTCTCGACGAGTACGACAGATCTACGGATAGTGCACCTTGAGGAACCTGTACTTTGGAACAGTCGCACTCTACCATTGGACTCACGACCCGATATCTTGGATCGCTGATGGCGTGTTGTACGGCATGTCCCGGAGCACCGAAGGCTGATCAAGGTTGCAGGGCCATGGCGCCGAAAGAGACATAAATTTCCGGTGGCGGCCCGCTGAGACACTGCTTGTACGCCTTGAGGGCGACCAGTGATCTCGTCTATCTGGTGGTTTGCTGCAATGCCACCCAGGTTTTGTTCTCGGGCCAAGACTGAGACCAAGAGAGGGATACATGCATCGATATTTAGCCTCAAGGGTCTGGACCCTTCACCAAACATCATATCGTCTTGGCCATTGGTCTCGCACAAGGGCGCCACACGGGACTGAAGTGTACGCCCAGAGCCTTGGCACCCCCGACTACTCCCTTGGAGACTGTTCCATCAGCGCGCTTCTCCCCGACAAGACTGACGGTGGTCTTGATAACAATCTTGGGCACGGTGCCACTCTCGTCAACGCAGGCAGAGTAGACAAATGGTAGAATATCCAAAGACACCTCCAAGTCATTGCCCTTGAGGTCTCCGCTGGTGACCCTGGTTGTTTGTCCCTACATACTTGTCAGTCCTTGTTGTATTTATCTCCGAAGTGCGGTCGCTGACTTACTCCAGCAACAACGTCGCCTAGCTTGGTTTCGGCCTCAACCACCAGCTTAGTCCCCTCCTCTAGCTCGGCCCATCCACCGACCGTCACCGTCTCGATGCGAAGCTGGAAGCCGACGGGTCCATTGTTCAGCGTTATCTCCTCGGTGCAGAACTTGGACGCTGTGGTCTCGCTCTCAGGGTCATCCACGTTAGGCAGCACGAGACCCCATTCTGAGAAGCTGAAGATGGGAGTTCCATTGCGAACCCCGGACATGAGACCGGCGGCACCAAGGGGGCAGCCAGTGCCCCACATGGCCAGGTTTTGGATGTTGGGCGAGGCCGACGGTTGGGATTGTGGTAGGGCAAAGGCATACCCCAAGAGGGGGGCAAGCGACAACAAGTTGAGCGCCATGATGAGAGTGTAGATCGGATGACTCACGATATGGTTATTGCGCTGGGCAGAACTGACAGCAACGAAGGGGCGAAGCTAAGCAACCTTGGGCGGATAGCATCCTGTCCTTAAGAGCAATTTAGTCGTCGACGATCGAATGAGTACGGCTGAGCTCTAAATTCCGGACATTCCCAGCTGTGATATCGCGTGTACAATAACCGGTTGGTGTGGAATGCCGGGACGGGGACTCAGGTGCTCTGGGTCAATCTCGAACCGCTTCTCAGGGATGGATGCGGGACGAAGGGGATCTCCCGAGCCACCTCCCGGTGCATTGGGCCGGGGAAGATTGTCCGTCTACATCTATCAAGCCGCAAACACGCGAGCGATACATCTCATTCTATTTCGGGAATATCAGGGGCTGGTGGTGGCGGCATTCCTGAGTTCCTGGTTTCTTCGACATTGAAAGGGCGCAGCATTCCGGACTGTCACGAGCGGAGGACCTAAACCACTCCCATAAACCATCGGCATGTCTTCAACCACTCTTTTGCTCAAGCTCAGCATGACATCACTGCTGGACCCCTATTCTGCACGCTTTGGCCCCCAAAACCAAGCGCCCCACAGCGCCTTCAGTGGGTAAGATTGGGATAGAGAGGCGTCTTGGCATCTCAACCCCTGAATGCCAACCGTTTCAGCCAACATGAAACATGAAACAGACACTGGCTTCGAACGACACCATGGACAAAAGCTGAGATTGCCCTTACCTTGTTCATCATCATCTTCACCAAGATTCAGCCACAATGTGGGCCATTCACCTACTATCACTCGCATCAGGCGCAGCAGCTGTCCAGCAACTCATCCCACGATTGTCCTTTGCAGACGTGTGCATCGGCAAACCTTCCCCAGACATCATTGACCCGAAGACGGTCATCCATCTACGCGAGTACATCTGTCCCGCTTTGACAGGCGGTGAGGCCAGGTATTCCAGCTCAGATGTGACCTTGGAACCACCGCATCCGCCACCCTTTGCCTTTCGACCAGCGTCGCCTGAATTTGAGTCGACCAACCACTGCGTCGACCAGTATTGCGTCTTCCACAACCCAAGGTTCGCTCACGGACGTGGCATGGTAGCCATCACCACTGCCCGCAATATCCAACGCCTCCAGGCTCTTCACAAAAAGTCGCCCCCTGATCTTATTCCACATGTGGATGAATACGATCCCACTCCCCTACCATACGCGAGGCGGCCATTCCAGGGAAGGGATTAGGCTTGGTGGCAAACGAGAAGCTTTCCCCAGGAACCACCGTCATGTCCCTCTACCCTGCCCTCATTGTCCACCGGACCTTCTTCGACCAAATCCCTGCTTCGGCCCAAGCCCCGTTGCTCTCCGCAGCCGTTGACCTCCTCCCCGAACGCCTTCGGAAACGCTTCCAAGAACAAATGGCGCACTTTTCT